GCTCCAAAACTCACATATAAGTCATGTTAAAAGTGAACTACACAAACAAAAGCCATTACGAACTGTGTTTCAAAGTATAAACCATCTGTAGTTTGAGAATCATACGTAGTGATCAAACCAAGCAAGGGAAAATAAAGGTAACATTTGCCCAAGACTGAACTTCATGAAAAGGAATGTAATTCCTCTGCCCTAATCAAGGGCTAAAAGTTCAGGGGTGTGAGAGCCACACACATGCTGGGTAGAAAGCGGTAGGGTTAGAATGTGTTGGTTTTTTGTTTTTTGTGGGTTTTTTTGCATCAAGCAGAAGTAAATTTGAGCAGGTGTTAGACTGTACTTATTCTCATGATTTACTGATGCAAAAACAGTCCAATTTAAGTGACCTTTGCATAAATGTAGATCTTGGTATGAACAAGAGGTGGGTTTGTTTGTTTTTTTAAATTACTGTAGCCTTTAGATGAGACCCTGCAGTGATGTACACGTGTGCTTAATTTGTAAGTCAATGAGACTATTGCTATGTTTAAAGTTAAGCATGTGTGTAAATCTTTGCAAAACTTTAGTTAACTTTCTACTTGTGTTCATTGTATTATTGAAAAAATATAGCCCCCTACTGGCCTAAGCAATGTTTCTAGGTTCTTATACATATACATTTACTTCTAGATAACTAACTTCTTTTCAGTTAGGGATTGTCATTAGGGGAAAGTTTTATCAGATATAAAGGTATAGTTATACTGGTATAACCTCCCCCCATGGACATTCTTCTATCTGGAAGAAGAGTGGCTTTTGTATTTAGTTTATATCATTTGGGAAGAGATTTAAGCTAGACTTGAGGGAAACAGAACACTCGCTCATATCTGAATAAGAGTCCACACAGCAGTTTATACGAGTAGTTTTACTGGTATAAACTATTTAAATTCACCCCTTAAATAATAATAAATTTCCTGTGTAGACTAGGTCTTAGCTTTGCCTTCTCCATTCCTGCATGAGTGAGTAATTTTGATGCTAACAAACTTCTTCAGAGATTTCTGAAATTTTGCAACATAAACTGAATAAACTGTGCAATCAAGGAAGCTAAAACAGTTTGCTACCTTACTCTTGAAAGGTAATCCATGTTAGTTTTGTTACTCCTAAGTTTCTTTTTGGGGGGGAGGGAAGGCAGGACAGCAGGAGGGAAACCACCTTATATAAGTTCTTTGTACTATAGTGGCAAAGATAATTAACCAAACCAGAGGGGGAGGAAAAAGGAAGATATAGCTGAGGGGAATTACTTGATATTACCTAAAATAACTGGCAGTAAAATAATTTGTTAGTAGTTCTCTAACTTTTAATAATCTTACATTTTGGAAGACTTTCCCGTTTTCTTTACAAGTGCTTTTACTAGCAATTTATTTTTCCTCACTACAAAGCACTTAAAATTTTTTTAAAAAACCTCGCACACATTAAAAAAAACCTTTGGTGAATCTCTTCTCTACTATCTCAATAGAGTATGTTGGCTTTTAATAGTCCTATGACAACCACTTCTGAGGATCGCTTGTGGTTAGTGTCATTTCACTTACGACTCACATAGCACGGTATATGTTTAGACAAAAGATTACTCTGACCCAGTTTTTCACTCCTTCCCAAGGCCCATTAATTTTTAAAAAGTCAGTTACGTATCCATTAACTTCTTACAACTAATACATTACTCGGAGTTTGTATTTTCCTTTATTGTGCAGCAGTGTGGCACTGTCAATGTTCTTTTGTCTTTCATGAGTCTTAGGTCAGGTCTACATTCAACTTCTGCCAGCATAGCACTGTTGCTCAGGGCTGTGACAAGATGTAACCACCAACTGACATAGCTATACCAGCAGAAGCCGCTAGTGAAGACAGTTATACCAGCAAAACTGCACTTTTATCAGTACTGCTTGTTTTACTCATGGGGGTGGTTTTCCTGTAGTGATACAAAAGGCAGCTCTGCCAACATATCTGCGTTCACAGTAGGAGCACTTTGCTGCTATACTGTACCAGTATTCCTACACTGGTAAAGCGATCCTAGTGTAGACATAGCCTTTTGTATAATATACAGTAGAGAACAATTTCAGCTTTTCACACAGGATGCATTAAAAACAGTCATCCCTACAGCAATAGTTCCAAACTGGTCCACGGAGAACTGGCTGGTTACATGGTGCTGGTTCTCTTTGTTTCCAGCAGCTAATCACATTAAATAACTACAAATACTCTAAATACTTTCCTAATGCTACTCTATTGCAGGTGTTGCTACAAGCACTCCCCACCCAGGGACAGTTTTCAAACTGGGAGTTTTACACAAACAGGAATGGAACAGGGAAGTGGTTTGTTCAACTGCCATGGGGAAGCACCATCCCCCACTCTGACAGATTAGAGACACCCTGCTCCTCTACAGTGTTCTTGCCTAAGAGGTGCTAAAATAAATGTAAATCTGCATTCTGTACCACTATTTAGTCATCGAGTATTCTACTGTGTTACTGAACCACTTGGAGTAGGTGACTAGAAACTATTTTCCCCCAATTAATATTCTAAGATGTGGAGAGATGTGTAAAAGCAACATATATTGGAAACTAGTTGGAGATGCCGAGTATCCAGTTGCACACTTTTGGTAAACAGTGCTTGGTCTAGAAGCAGTCACCATAAATAAGGGGATAACCCCTATTTCTCATCCTCCTACTTTTAAATAGGGTCAGAAGAGTGCCAAACACAGCACTTCCTTTGCCCCTACCCTTCTTATCCTTCTCCTAGCAACTATTTTTCACAGCAGAAATATCCACTAGGTAATCCTCCCCACACCACCACCATTTTAAAATCCCCAAGCCTCACATTCTAATACAATTAGCAACACCAGGATATGCATTAGGCGGCCATTGGCACTGTAACAACTGGTTACTTAACAGGCCTTCAAACTCCCAGGTAGTGAGGGTGCTCCAACAGCATATTAACAGACGCCCTTTTGTGACTTATTGGGATGAGATGTTATGGTAGCTTTTGATTTATTACAATTCTTTTGGTTCATGCCATTATTACAAGTTTTAATCCATGACGTATAGAGCACAGTTAAGCAAAGGTAAGTAAGTAAGATTTAACAAGATGTCAAAGAAATATGAAAACAATATCATAATGGAACTGTGTAAATGAGAAATTGCTTCAAGTTTGACCCTTCAAGTTTGAACAGACTTTGACTCTATTAGTAAATCCAACTGTGTTAGAGAATGCAATCCATGGAGTCTATTGCCTACTGGCTGGTGTGAAATGCTACATTTCAAAAGGAATTAATCTGCCCCTCTGCTCTACTGAGAAGAAAAACTGACTTTAAATGGAAGCTGCTGGTGCTTATACCTCTAAAAAAAACCAAAAAACAAAAAAAAAAAAACAATCAGGCTATGAATGACTTCCCGAGGTCACGTGGCCAGAGAGGGGGAGGAGAAAAAAAATGTAACTCCTAACACCAAAACCATTGCAAAGAGTCTAGTTCCCACCCCCACACACTACACCAAACACATCACTAGACAAGCCTGTTTTCCCTTCTCAGCTGAAAGTGAGACATACGCTTAAATGAGTGCACCACAGATCTGGTCTCTGGAGAATACAATTTATATTTTAAAGGACATTTCCAGGCTCCAGTTACAAAAACAAAGTTGTGACACTACTGTGGTAGAACTGTATTCAAGACAAGCATCTTGTCAAACGGGGCTATAGCAATTGTTCTCAACCTATTTACCATTATGCAGCTCTGTGTGTGTTATATATATCGTGCGGATGCAGCTCACGTACTAGCTGTATGGCCCTGAGGATGTAACATGGGCCGCAGCTGTTTGCTGAATGGGCTGCAAGCAGCCCGAGAACCACTGAGCTATAGGATCAGTACTTGAAATTTCTTCCCTATTAACCATCATAAACGAAAACAGGAAACAATTTAAAATAAAACCCAATACAGAGCGCTCAGACTTCCCTAAGAAAAACAGCTCCGTCTGCTTCAGTAAGTAAGGTCATTTTACTTACGTTGCCCTATTCCATTGTCATGTGTGTAAGAGCATTATACTGTGGGGCTTCAGTGACAGCAACATCCATCTTCAAGTTTCTAAAGAAATGAATGGCTGGACTCTGTTAGGTTGGAGTATGTTAGTGTATACACTGACCTCTTAGAACTCTCTTAAGTAATAAGAATATATCAGCCTGAGGAACAAAGTTCACATACTAAAGTTACTGGCAGTAGGGCTTTCAAATCCAGGCTCTGGGCCCAGCTTGCCAGAACCCATGGCAGATGCAAATTCCTCTGGGTGGTAACCAAATGTGAGGGATGGGGATATCTATGGCTGAAAGAGCCTGTCCTTCCCAGGAAGATAAGTAGGATCTGAAAATAACTTAGCAGAAAAGCAAAAAAACCCACCACCCAAATCAACTGAAGTGTCCATTTAAAATGTGAAAAGTGCAAAGCCAACACCACAGTCCACCAGAGGATTTATCTATAGAATTCCTATTCATTTGATACCCAATCAGTTTAAAGCCAGAGCAAGATCGTATCAGTGCAGTTGCAGGGCTAAGTTGACAGGGTACAGTTGGCAGCACAGAATTCAAATTCACTGGGAGGAGAGAAGGAATAGACTGCCTGTTTCTATACTGTTAACGTGTGTGTTGTAGCATCATTTTGTTAATGGTGGAAATCTTGCTCTTGCACAATTAGATACATGAGAACATTATGATGTATTATGACCTGATGTTTTTTAAACTAAGGAAATGGTATCAGAATTGGAATAAGTAACCAAAAGATGAATCTAAGTAACTGTTTCCCCTACTCCGCCATTGGTCAGATTCTCTAAATGGTTTCCCCAACTTGCTTTCAAAATTAACAAACAAAAAAAACCCACATCTCCCCTGAGCCAATTTATTATAACCATCAAATAGATATTAAAATCTATGAAAACAGTGGGTTTAAGAACAAACCCTCCGTACATTAACTTTTATATCATAAAAAATATGTTAAACCAAAAGCCATTTTGTAAGTACAATATTCAACCCTTTTATTTCCATGTTTGTTTATTCAGAAATATTTGGCGTTCAAGGAATGCAAATTAGAACTTTTGGTACAGTGCTATGTAGCATCGACGCCACCTTTTACTGTGAACTATGGTTCTGATCAAAACGAAGCGTATTACAAATCAAGGTACTCTAAAGCCCTAGAACATTGGTTGAAATATCAAGTTAAAATATAAACCAGTGCCAAAAATAAAACATTATCCTGGGCTTCCCTTTTAGTAGCTATGATAAAAGTTTTACATTACAAATTTATAGAAGAGGTACTATTGTAGACCCCAGCTGCACTGTAAATGTTATGTTTCAGCAGCATGCCTAAATATTGTACTGCCATTGTACAATAGGGTTTGGTTTATGTGGAAGACACCAAAGGATTGTAACCAAAGTAAGGACCTGTGCTCCAGGCCTTGTGGAGGACAACGTTACAGAATGATCCTTTACCATGCTGAACACATGATTTAGTCCCTACCACATGGGCAAGGCCAAACTGTGTTATATCCAAGCTGGGCTAATACCATGTTTAGGAACACAGCACAATCATGGTAAAATGGATAGTAGTTTTATCACAAATAACCCAGATGTGCACTGTTTAAAGTACTTTTAAATACTAGCTCATCTGTGCAAAAAAGTTACATTTTTCTAATATGAGAACATCAGAAAGCTTGATGTCAACCAAGGGCCCAATTCTGCCAACTTCAAGGGGATGCCTCTTTGGGCTAGATTGTGAGACTCTATGCACAGCCCTGCATGAGAGGTGGTGTGAAAGCTGCACCAACTCAGGCAGCACCAGAAGGTACTATGACTCAGGCATGCCTCTGAATCACAATTCCTCCATGGCCTCCTCCCTAGGCCTTGGAGATAGTAATTTACAGCTGGCCTATACCCACAATAAGGGCTTGATCCTGCAGTATGTTGAATACTCTGGACCTGATGCAGCCAAACACCTAAGGATGCAGTAACTGTAAGCAAATAACAGTCTTACTGACTCAAGGCTAGCTGCTGTGGCCAGCAAGTAGGGGAGTGGAGCCATAGCTTTGCCCATTCCCTGGTCACCTGCTGTGGGGAGAGATTAAGCAGGTGAATATCCCCATTTACTCCCTATGTAGGGATGTAAGGGGAGCTATTATCCCTTCTTACTTCCTTGCATTGGCATGTAGTCTGTCCACAATCTAGCTCTATGTAAGTAGGGTTGGTGGAATCAGCCCCAAAGAAAGAGGTAGTCACATACTTACTTGGAAAAGTTTACATGGTCTTCCAATCCAAACCTTCAAAATAAATCTTTGCCTTAATATCACTTAACACCTTATGCCCTATCTCTATGATGCATTCAGCTTTTACTTATATGCTAACTACGGCTATTTCTAGGATTAAAATTAACCCATTCCTTAATTAGTAGTAAAAGAGCTATCTTTTTAATCAGGCCTCAAGTAGTTTTAAAGTAGCCAGAAGGGAAAAAAAAAAAATACATTGTGCTCCTGCAAAATAATCTTACTGAAGCCTTGTTAAATCACTGACTTTAGTTCTTCAGTGAAGTTTAATTGTCCAGAATAAATCTGCCCACTGAAAAGGAGCAAATTTGTTTTATTTCGCAAAATAAGAAAGTCATTGATGTATTTAAGCTCTTGATTTAAGAAGAATTATAAAGTTATTTTGTAGGCAGTGTCACCCTCCTTTTACCACATGGATGATAACTGGAGTGAAGATTAAAATTTTTACCAGGGGAATATAAATTTTGCATAAATGGCCTATACTTGTATTGAATAAACTTAGAACGGAAAAAAAAAAAGATTTGTGTTTAAATGAAACTTTTCATCTTCTCAAGAAACCTAGACACTTACCCACAGGTACTAAAAAGAAAAAAGTATATTTTAAACTTGCTTTATTAAATATTATTCTTCCGCCTCCCTAAGACAACTCCCAGTTAGACAGTTACATTTTCAGAAGAGAAAGACCCACATATTTTAGTGGTGCAGCTATTTGTTATCTGACCTCAATGGACTAGTGTTTTGTCCCATATGAACTGGGCTAAAACTCGGAAGTGGAATTAATTAAAAAGTGCCCTACTTCAAAGCCACAGGTCCCCAAAAATTTCCCAACCCCATTTTGGGTTATGGGAAAATGTTGTAATTTAATGCAGAGCTAAATTCCATGGTGAACATGTGGCCACAGACTGTTCAGAATTAGAGTGCTTACAGCAAAGAAGGAAAGAGTACATCTTTTGAAGGGAATTCATACAAGACAACCTTTAAGAAGCCAGCAAGTTAATTTTGGAATTCTAAAAAACTGCTAGTTTAAATCTATAGTGTACGCTAAACCACCTACTTACTGTTGCCAACAACACTGTCATATGTGTTGTCTAGCAACTTAGTGAACAAAAAGACATTAAAGGAAAGGAGGCTGCTTCTACAGGGACAAACATTGAACTAATCTCACATTAGATAAAAATCTAGCATGCACCTTTAACATTGCAAATGGAAATCAAGGACAAGAGTTTGTTAAAAACCCATACAAGGAATCACTAATTTTCTTTTAAAAAGATATACAGAAATAATTACACTGATTAATAAACCACCAATATTCATGATTTTCTCATGTGAATTAAACTGGTTTAAGTTTTCAGAAAAAAATATCAGCAAACTAGTTCAGAACATGTCTGATCATTCAAAAATACTGTTCTGTCAGAAGAACTGTTGAAAGCAGACACAAATGTGTATGCAACTTGTGCTTTTTATCCAAGGGAATATGGAACACATGGTCATAGGTTTCCTACTAGATGGATTACAGGGTTATCAAGTGACTACATAAATCAATCCTTTCTTCTACTAAATTCAAGATGGAGCAGCTACAATACTGTAACAATGTGATGTGTTCCAAGAATCCGTATGAAAAGTACCACTTATATTAATCTAAGTACCCATTTGGATTTTCTTTTAGTTTGCCTATATTCACAAATATATACTGTATGTGCACCTTGAGTATAACTGTATGGAAAAGTCTCAAAAGATAAAAGATGGCATGGGACAGTTCAGTCACCTTCCTAATTCTGAATTTGTAACTACCACCAATGAAGAAGCCCGATGCTATATGTAGTCCCCCAGAAAACACTGAGTGGCCTTGGCTCTCAGTGCCTAGTCCCCAGAAGGCTCTTCTCACGCCCGTTTCCTTAGGCTGAACATTTCGAGGCTGCAGAAACATTTGTGTACTCCTCAGCAGTTATGTTTGTTTATGTGATGCCTTCTCCAGATCTGGGAGTTTGTCAACCAACGCTTGATGATTCACATTGATACTGGCTAGGAGTCCCCCCTCATTGCCATCTGAACCAGTATAACTGATTTCTTCACCAGTCAGGGTAGTCATGTGACCACCCAATGCTTTCAGCACGGCATTCCCGGCGCATATATCCCATTTTTTGATGTACGTCACATGAATATATACATCAGCTTTTTCTTGTTTCTTGTCAGGCACATCAAGGAGGGCTAAAACTTTATAGCCTAGAAGATTAGAAAGGTAACACCAGTTAATGAAACATCAACTTTCCTAATTCATCACAAAACAATGGCATTTATTAGCAATTACAAAAATGATTTGGTTAACCATGTCGTGTTAGTTGAGAATGTAATGGTGCATGCAGCAGAAACCTTCACCTTCTGTTACACTTCCTGCAAGGTACTGAAATCAAGATTTTTCCACTACATGTCACACTTGAAACAAACCCATTTTGACCATCATTATTTCCTTTGCACCATCCTCTACTGGTTTGATAGATACATAGACACATCAACAGAATCAGACTGTGTATGCGTTTAACTAAATGATCGTGTTTTACTCTTGGGCTTGTTTGCTTTGCCACAATTGTATCGCTTATCTCCACTTCTCTCTCAAATGTTAATCTCAAATGTTTTGTTAATTCTAGCTGGCATGCGTATCAAACATATTTCCAGTTCATAAAAATCTTTGCATGTAATCAGATTTCGTTTTATTGACTGACTTCATTCTTTACAAAAGCTCCCTACTCACTCATTTCGCAGTACAGTTCATCCTCTTCATTCATGCTAAACCTCTCCCTCTTTTTATATGCTGCCAACTGGAATGGAATATTTGCTTTGTCAATTAAACTTTCATCTCTCCTGCTAACCATAACCTGACTTCTTTAGACTCATTCTCTTACCCATGACTGCTAATCAACATGAGATATTAAGTGCATCTTTTCTAAAAAAAGAACAAAACCCCAAACCAGATATAGCTGTCCATACAAAGAAATTAGAAGATGCCCTTTTGTGAAATGCAGAAATTACCTGCATTTTGCAGTATGCTGAAGTGAGTAATTACTTCACATTTGTGCTTCCCCTTCATATAGGCACACTCCACTTATACCATGAACCAATTTTGCCAAGACATTTAATATAAAAAACCCTCCAACCAATTTGCTTGCTTGTAGTAAGATCACTCCTGGGACTGACTATTAGATTCTTAAATCACTGAACTCTTTTCTTAAAATTTTCAGCTTGTATATCTGAAATTATATGATCTTTTTATTGTTCTCTCACGCCAGTAAAACAGTGCAACAACTCCTGTTTCTGTTCATGATGATCAGCCTTTTCTTAACATAGCAGCCAGTTTCACTCTGATCTTTTCTAACATTCGGGATAGAGCAAACGTCACCCAAAATGCTCCTCTCTCAATGTACCCAGTACTCTCTTCTTGTTTCATGTTGTGCCTAATGTATGGGTACTGACTCCTTTTCCTGCCAACTATAATAACAGTGCTTTCAGTCAGTCACTCAATTCCCATCCCACAATCTGAAATAGGTTTAAATTTGGGTTCTAGGTGCATGAAATACAGTACTTCTGCTGCAAATTCCTTGTTTTTGTCACTTCTCCGGTTTAATAACTGTTTCCTTACTAAGTAATCCACAAGCAATAAAGTGTCTGGGATGCTTAAAGGTAACAAACCTGCTCCACCTGCTGGGATGATCACAGTTTTATTTCCAAATGTTTGCCGTGCAACCTGCTCTACTTTTCCTGCATGAGAGCGGGACACAATAATTCTTGGAGTTCTCTCACTGTAGGAGGAACGAGCTTTTACATTTGACCCACCATCAACCATTGCCCACGCTACAAAAGAAACATACATTCCATTAGTGGGTTTTGGAGACATCTGCTCTTTTAGAGATACAATTAAAGAGATGCTAACTTAAAAAACAAACAAAACAAAAACTAGTGCTTCTGCCGGATTCCCCCCGCCATTATTGTTAGAAGAAAACACATAAGATTACTAGAATAGAATTCATGGGAAACAAAAATTTCTTTTTGGAATTTGTGTACTTAGTGCATTTTAGAACACTTTATGTGTTAAGTTCAATTGTAATCTTTCATAATAAGTAACACTGCAAACCTGGAAAAAATGTGATTGTAAAATTCACAGGGAGATTCAGGGGCAGATGTAATGTAGATGATATTACCTGAAATTCCTTTAGCTCATTCTTCTAAATTGACTATATTTCAAATAGATATCCCATCAGTCAACAAAATACTGTCATCTTTCAGATCAAGAGAGAAGAATATGAACATGTTTATTTTCAGAAAACACGGATTCATTCAGAAGACTGAATTCAGGATGCATAGCCTTCCGCTTCTAGATCATTGGTTCAAAAAAAAAAAAAATCACCCCTTGATAGGCTGTGTCCAAAAGCCATTACAATGTGACATTTATTTGGTGTTCTAGCTGGTGATTTCAGCATAGTAGAGAGGCTGACACTATGTGGGCAGAGACTGAACTAACCTGTAATCTTTAAATATCGCTCTCCCTTATTGATTTATATCTATGTTGTAGAGCAGGATCATGACAAAACAAAAGGTTATGGCATTTCCAGTTTGGAAAGTTACTCAAGATTAGGGGTTGAGGAGGGTAATAGAACTAACTATATTTTTACATTTAAAAAAAAAAATCCTATTTGGATGTCATTCCTGAAGATTTCTGATGGGCTATCCTTGCAGATTCCTTTTTTTAAAGGAACGACTATGGCAAATTCCCAGTTACGATGACAGAATTTTTGTTGGAAAGAAAATCAGCTCTTCAATAATAGGTGCGGCAGGTGCTTCAGAAAAAGCCAAGATACATATAAAATGTGAAGATAAAGTCCTAATGATAAACTGGAATTAAAGTTAGCATTTAAAGAATGTAATACTTAGGTGGGGAAAAAAAATCACAACATTGAATATTCTAACAGGTAGAAAACCTAGTTCATTTATTACATAACTGCTCTGGACTCTAGAGGTCAGTATGGCCTAAGGGGAAAGGGAAACATGTTATCAGCCTCTGTTTTAACTATCCAGGAATATAACATACATTTCCTTCAAATATACTCAACACTGGATTTGTTGTTTAAGCCTTTCAGAAGTTACTGGCAATACCCTGTCCTTGAATGTTTATGGAGGAGATAGTATGATGGGATAACTTGATTCTAGTAATTAAATATTCATGGTAAATACGCCTAATGGCCTGTGATAGGATATTAGATGGGGTGGGATCTGAGTTACCCAGGAAAGAATTTTCTGTAGTATCTGGCAGGTGAATCTTGCCATATGCTCAGGGTTTAGCTGATTGCCATATTTGGGGTCGGGAAGGAATTTTCCTCCAGGGCAGATTGGAAGAGACCCTGGAAGTTTTTCGCCTTCCTCTGTAGCATGGGGACGGGTCACTTGCTGGAGGATTCTCTGCTCCCTGAAGTCTTTAAACCACGATATGTCTGAGCTATTGAAGTCCTCATAGGTGAGAGATATTTCGCAGGAGTGGGTGGGTGAAATTCTGTGGCCTGCGTTGTGCAGGAGGTCAGACTAGATGATCATAATGGTCCCTTCTGACCTTAGTATCTACGAATGTGTATGTTTAAACTCGCATCCATCCTCATCAGTGCTTCAACAGACTCAAGAGATTCTGTATGAGAGTGCTGCTTGTTTGGAATACACAGATTTCCCGCCCCCCAGAAAGTCTTGTGTTTAAAACAACTGTGAAAGATGGATGCATAGCCGTTATTAACAGTGGTTCCTGAAGTCAGACGCACATTACGCAGGGTGCATACCATGGGTTGTGGTGAGGAAGAGCAGTGCTGGCTACCCCACTGCCCATTCAGGTTTGGCCATCATGATGGAGAGACTGCAGGGCCAAAACTGAGTGAGTGGCATTGCAACTGCTGTGCTTGGGGTGGGGCATGTCTTTGGAGTGAACAAGCGCTGCAAGGACTAACCTTTAGGTGAGAAATACCTTACTAGACAGGAAAGTCATGTGTGACTAAGTATAGGCTATTAGATTGTGTCTTATGTTTTTCTTTTACCTGCAAGCTCTGTTAAATAAACTTCAATGTGGTTTTACTACAAACCTGTCTAAGGGCATGGCTACACTGGAAACATCAAAGCGCTGCCGTGGGAACACTCCCGCGTCATCGCTTTGAAGTGCGAGTGAGGTCACGCCCGAGAGCGCTCCCCAGCGCTCCTGGTAAGCCACCTCCATAAGGGGATTAGCTCAGAGCACTGGGAGCGCGGCTCTCAGCGCTCAGAGCCTGTCTACACCAGCGCTTTAAAGCGCTCAGACTTGCTGAGCGCAGAGGGGTGGTTTTTCACATCCCTGAACCAGCAAGTTGAGCGCTATAAAAATGTGTAGACAAGCCCTAAACATCCTGTGCTAAGAAGTGCGTTGAACTAAGGTGAAACCAGTGAACTGGGATGCATAGCTTTTCTGGAAGCAGTGAACTGGTGTATGTTGCGGGCGTCCAGAAGATAAGGGACTGGGCACTTAAATGTAACAGAGTGGGATGCGTAAACTGCTAGCCTGCACTGGGACACAGCGGGGCTCTGGGCACTCAGAACAGAGCACCTATGTTGCCAGCAGCAGGTGGCTTGGGAGTGTTTTCCCTGGGTGAGCACAGACAGGGTTCCCTCCTGCTGTGAGCTGGTGGTAGTGATTCACCACAGTCATCTCAGGTAATCCCAAAAAGCATCAGGACACTGGACCTGGACAGGCCGGTTCGGAAGGCACAGACTTTGACGGGTGAGGTGCTGAGGCCATAGTGGGCCTGATAGGAAAAATTTCTGTGGGTACCCCTAGTCATTAAGGTCCTGATTTTGCTACCCTTACTCATGATAAAAAATAATTTGCTCGTGGGAGCACTCGTATGGACTTCAATGAGACTGCTTGTGTGAGCAAGGGGCCACTCAGTATAAGGGTGATAGAATAGAGGCCTACATATGCAGTGTTTTTTTTTTTTTTTTTAAGAGATTGTTCTTAATGTTTCAATGAAAGAGCTTCATCAACCACTCTATTTTTGGTTTATGTTTCTTCCATGTACCATTCTTCTGCCCCACAAAGACCACCTTTTCCTGTGTTTTGTGGGTGCCCCAATCTTAAGGACTCTGGACATTACCACAATATAAATAAGTAATGACACATTTTTGTTTTCCTGTATTAAGTACTATTGTATCCATTTATAACCACAGATTCTCCCTCAAATATAAAACTTTAACTGTACATCAGTGAAAATGGCAGAAACAAAGAATGAGACATGCATACTGATACCTGTATATGCTGAGAAGGGCTTGTGTATTACTCCTACTACCGGTTCACCATTCACAGCCACACACACCATAGTAGTGACATACTGTCGAAGATCCTCTAAGGGTGGGGATGAGGGGGAAGGGACCAAGAAATTAGACAAATTAATTAGCTCATCATCATATAGGTTAAAAGCACAAAAAAAAGACCAAGATATCTACCTGCAAAATGACAACAGCTCTAATAAGCAACAACTCTTGTATAAAATTTATCTTGAAAATACATTTCATTTTTGTCTCCTATCTAAAGGGGAAAGAATCAGAATTAAATATTTGGCTCAGTTTAAAAAATAAAAAGCAGTTACCTGTATATTCATGTGTAGCGTCTAATGGATCAATCCACACTGTCACACTTTCTGCTGGGACCTTTTTAGGCTGTATTTTTTCCTTTATGTCTTCAGGAATACTGCGATCCCAGAAAACTGTCTCCTTATCAGGTGGATCAACGTGTTCTTCGGTATTTATCTATGTTAAAAATGATACAAACAGACATTAACCCAGAGTGTTGTACCAGGATGATCTATCAAATATTTGTGCACATAATGGCAATTAACAGCCTTCCCCTTCTCCTTGAGGAATTTCATTTCTAACTCAACGTGGGTGGGGGGAGGGGGAAATCCCAAAACATTTAATGAGTTTGGAGACCAAATCATACCTCTGAACCTTCAGATCTGCCCATGTGCAAAACTGAATACATGACAGGTGACCAAACCGTAGAACTCCTGTATTTTGCTACAAGCTATCCATATTTCCAGATCATGGAGTTTAACTATAAACCCTGTTATTAAGGATATTACTGTTGCTGTGTGAATTAAATAAACCACATTTTTTTTAAAAATAAAGTAAACTGCAGCCACAAAATTCCATCATGAGCAGTCACAAGGACCTCCCACAAGGGTCACAGCAGGGCTGGAATTCCACACCTTCAGCTCCACAGCACAGACTTCACCACTTAAAGATAACTGGAGCAAGTTATCCTATAGATGGACCAATCACTAGATGAAGAATCGACGCATACACTTTCTGGGGATTACATAAATATTTGCTGGACAACTAAAGAATGCAGTAGAGCAGGAATCCTGGCTCTGGGAAGGAAGTGCTGTCTAGTAATTTGAGCGGTGGTTGAGATGTGCTACCCAGACTACCCGGAACACTATTACTGAAAAATTGCTTACTTTCTCATTTTTACCATATAATTATAAAATAAACCAATTGGAATACAAATATTGTACTTACATTTCAATGTATAATATATAGAGCAGTATAAACAAGTCGTATAACATTTTAGTTTGTACCAACTTTGCTAGTGCTTTTTATGTAGCCTGTTGTAAAACTAGGCCAATATTTAGATGAGTTGATGTACCCCCAGAAGACCTCTGCATACCCACGGTGATTGAGAACCACTGCTCTAGTCTATCTAACATGGAATGGCCCTAATTACCATTTAAATACCTTTTAGTACGTCTCTAAAGGTTGAATTTGGGTCACATAGCCCGCTGGTTGCTTAACCCTTTTTGGCCCGGTGTCACAACTGACATAAGATTTCAGCAAGCCAGTAACAAATGTGTGCTTCCAAAATACTATACTAGTTATTGTAAAGCCACAGACAGTCCCCTTCGGGCCCTCTAACCCTCATTCACCACCAAGACAAACCAGACTTATGTGACAAATGGTTTATTAAAATCAGAAATCACATATTAGGTTCTTCCAATTCCAAAGAATCAGAAACACCTCAAATCAAAATGTACTTCAGATCTTACCCAAAAATCAAACTGATAGCCAATCCTTTAGCAACTAAAAATGAAAGGTTTATTAATATATAAAAAAGGAAGGGAGTTACCGAGAGGTTAAACGGAATCATATACATTACAGTTGATTTCCGAGTTTGTACATCAGGATAATAGCATGATGTTAAATCTGTTAGCTTGCAATAAGTCTCTCTGTATCATCATAAATATTGGGGGTCATCAGTCCTTTGTTCAAAGCTTCCCTTTGCTAGAAACCATAGTCTAGAGATGTGGAGCAGGAAGAAGACCAAGAATGATGTCACAGTCTGCAATTTCTCTCTCTTAGGTGCATTGAAAGTTACTGGCACAAACATGGAGTCCTGGGTCACATGTCCCTTGCTGTTTTATGAGGCATTCACTGCCTACATGCTACCTGAACAAACCTTGGGAAGGGGCCCTGGAAGAGCTGATTGCCCTTAATGGGCCATCAACCAGGCTGGTTAGCCTTGATGTAAATCTGTTTTGCAGGTGTCACCCAGAAACACAACAGGTGTAAGATACAAACACATAGCAAATATTCATAACTTCAGATACACCAATACATGGATTTAAATAGGATAATAATACATAGCAGATTATAACTTATCCATTGATACCTTCAAGGCATACTTTGTATAAGATTTATCATACCTGTGCAATGGTGGTGACATTTTAGTGTACACATGGTCATCTTTCTTTCTATACCAGGGGTCTCAAACTCAAATGACCATGAGGGCCACATGACGGCTAGTACATTGGCCTGAGGGCTGCATCACTGACCCCTTCAACCCCCGGTGCCCTGGCTCCGCCCCCATTCCAACCCCTTCCCCAAAAACCCCACCCCAACTCCACCCCCTCCCTGCCCCCAGGAGGTGCAGGAGGGGTGCAGGGTGCAGCAGGGGGCTCAGGGCAGGGGGTTGGGGTGCGGGTGCAGGAGGGGTGCGGCCGGGGGTTCGGCTGCAGGAAGGGTTTGGGGGGTGGGCTCCAGCCCAGCGTGCACCGGGGGCAGGGCAGGCTCCCTGCCTGCCTGCCCTGCCCTGCCCCCGCGCTGCTCTGGGAAGTGGCTGGAACCAGGGGGAAGGGAGGGGAGGGGGAGAGAGGAGGGCGGCACAGGGGTCTGTGTGTTGCCCTGGCCGCGCCTCCAGGCACTGCCCCCTGCAGCTCCCATTGGCTGGAAACGGGGAATCGCGGCCAATGGGAGCTTTGGAGGAGGTACCTGGAGGCACAGCCAAGGCAACACACAGACCCCTGTGTCCCCCCCTCCCCCCCAGATCCCGGCCGCTTCCCGGAGTGGAGCGGGGGCAGGGCAAGCAGGCGGGGAGCTTGCCCTTGCCCCTGGTGTGTGCTGGGCTGGAGCCGCTTTATGTAAACGCTGGGGGGGGGGTACGGGGAGCTAGCGGGCCGCAGAAAATAACCCCGCGGGATGCATGTTTGAGACCCCTGTTCTATACAGTGTCACAGAAGGACTTGTAATTTGTAAAAGATGCACCTCCATAAAAAAGATGCTGTCACTCATCGTTGCACTGTAGAATTTTATTGGACACCCTCACCCATAATGGATTCTTGCCCACTTCACAGATCATCACACAAACTTGTGGGTATAACTAATGAATAAAGAAGAAACAGGTCTTAAAAATAAGCCCCACACGATTTAAGACAGTGAACTGTGGGAGAGAGTTGTGATGCAACTGGACATACAGTGTCAACAAGCATTTGTTCCAATAAAAGATATTACCTCACCCACCTTGTCTCTCCAATATCCTGGGACCAAAACATCTACAGGGTTGCAAACACCACTGCAACTGACTGTCTAACCATGAATGCTGCAGATTTTGGCTCTCTCTGAAGGATTAACGTCCGGCTTTAGTTGGATAAGCCTTTAAAGTTTTTATTCCAATATTGGTTTGTGTGTCTCTGCAGCATTAAAGATTTCTCTTTAATGGTGGTGACAAAAAACAACAAACTTCATATTAATTTCTACATGTTGGCAGCTACATATTCTTTCCTCCTCTTGATTAGGGTTAGAGATGTTGGCTAAATAAGGGGGTCTGCAAATCATGTTAGTCTGGAAGAGGGTCAGCAACTCTGAAAGTCTGGGAAACCCTGGGCTAATTAATGAAAGGTGCTAGAAAGTTTTTCCTTTGTGTGACATTTACTTTCCACAAATGTGCTCTTAATAGAAGGCCTTCAAAGATTAAACATTGACCAAAGAATCACTTACAATTCATTACAATTAAAGAGATAAACTGGGTTAAAGCACTAGTTGTATAACAATCTTTAGCTATGCCAGATAGCATGCCACAAGCTTTTAAATTTACTTCTAATTTGCAATAATTTATTAAGGCACATCCTGAAAAATAGCTTTATATACTGATAAACTGGTAGAAAAGATTTCCCCCCAAACCTACCAAAACTCTTCTATGTCAAAGGAAAATTACAGAGTTCTTTGGTATAGCTTGACCCAAGTTCCAATCCCCAAAAAAACCACCACTTGCTCATCTACAGATTGTATTTTTTTAATTTCTAAAGTTCTGCCAAAAGCGATACAAATATATAACCTAGCCCATTTTAAAAACTTTGCCTAGAGACCTGCTTTAGGTCTCAAACTGTTATGACCCCAAATGCCTTAATGACAGAACTCCTGTTTTAGCAAAAACCATTGAATCAATGGAACCACCTCTGTTTAGGTAACTTTCATGCTGTTGATCTGCATATACAAGGTCATGTCCATAGTTTGGGTGCCCTCAAAACTTCTCTTTTCATGGGAAAAAAATTAGATAGCTAAATAATTTGCATGTACAAGATTCTGAGTAGGAGCAGAATTATGGCCATTGCAAATTTGTTCTTAAATGCTAGTAATAAAGTTACAATCAATGTGCAATATATAGAGCTTCATTAAATCGGCTTTTATAACAAACAAAAACTGACTTTTGTAACATGAAACTTCAGTAACATTCCTGACTGAGTTTGAAGGAAGTCACTCCTCATAAAAAACGGCCTTCTGCTATACAAATTTCTCGCTTCCCTGCAGCTTTCTAAACACATCTATAAGAGGCAAATAGGCTACTCTTGAATGACTATCAATTATTTTCTTATATGAAAAAGGCAACTTAATTGCAACCCACAAATTCAGAACTACTTTAAAATGAATTTGTGGTTTATCTGAATCTCATGAAGTATGAAGGCAATTTATTCTGGAAAAGTACGAGCAGAAAATTCAACCAAAACATCTGGGCCCGAAAAAGCTGTACAACAGGGGACTTCCCAGGCCTTAAGCACTTGGTTCTTTATATTGAGGACATTCTCTCTCATAACTTGTTGGCAAAACAGAAAGCTGGGATTGAGAGACAAGTCATGAACATACTAAAAAAAAAAAATCCATGCTGATGAATCCAGTAATCTGAACAAACAAACTACAGTCCAGCCTGCCTAAAGCATTACAGGAACCTCACACTGGTTCATTTTCCTGTGCTGGGCTATTCCTTAACAACAGTTCATTAAGTCTTTTTTACATCACCCACCCTCCTCCCAAACGTGCTTGGAATGCTAGCCAGTTGTCCATGAAAAGGTGCATTAAATAAGACATTTTCCAGTTTGGGAAGCAAAACTACAGCTATATCCTATGAAGTCTCTCAATTATACTGAAAATTGAAGATATAAAAATAATTGTAATTAAGCATGTGAATAGTCAAATCCTTT